GGAGCCTTCAGAAAGCTCCAGCTCCCAGCCCCGGCCTCTGCTGCCAGAGCCGGAGCCATTGAGTCTGTCCCAGGACACTCTCAGAATCAACAGACTGCCCCACAGGGCCAGGACGCAGGCTGCAGTGGTGAGAACTCTGCACAGGACTGGTGCCCTGCGTTTCTACATGGGCCACAGTATATCAGGTAAGCTCTCTGGGGCATGTGGCCTTCTCCGTGGCCCACCGGGGGCCTCAGGTTTCCACTAGGATCTCCACCACATGGTCCAGTTCGGCCAGGTCGGACTTGCAGCTGGAGCCGGGAGGTGAGGCTGCCGAGGCAAAGCCCTCGAGCCCATCACAGAGGCCTGGCTTAGTGCCACCCATCATTCCTGTCAGCACAGTGTCCAGGTCATAGTAGGAATTGTCCACGTCTGAGAACAACTCCTCCACAGCGCTGGGACTTTTGTTCTCCCGGGTCTCAAATATCTGATCTAGAGACTTCTGAAAGCTTCCTCTGTTTTCTCGAGGGTTGCCTGTATCCCAAAGGCTACTCTGAGTGTTCCTTGGCACCTGTGCTGAGCTGACTGTGGAAAGTTCAGAAACTGGACCTTGCAAGGGGTCATCTCCCAGGTCAGGAGCAGGGCACCCTGCCTCTGGCCCTCTTGCTGTGCGACACAGGATCTCCGTGGACACAAGGCGGTCGAGCGGCACCCGTTCTGCACTCTGGGGTGCTGCCCCTCGCCACGCACCATCCCGGCTCATCTCCTCCTGGATCTGTCGGACTGTGTTGGCAATGAGGACTGAGCGGCAGAGGTTGGGCTCTACCAGCATGTGGCAGAGTTGGAGCTTGACCAGGGACATGTCCAGGAGCGACTGTCGCTGTAGGCTATAGGCAGGAATAGTGCCAAAGCCAGCCAAGGCACCCTCCCCATCTTCCTCCTGGTCAACACATTTTCTCTTCAGTCCTCGTGCAAACATTGTGCCCTGTGGGAACCAAGGAAGACGCCACTTAGCACATCTTGGCACTCTGGCACAGTGCCCCCAGGACACTCATCAAAGAGAGAAGGGGCATCTGCATACGGGCACAAAGGCATGTCCTGGAAGGCAGTGTTGTGTCTGTGATATACGCATAGCCATACTGTCAGCAATAACAAAGCTTAAGGCTGTAGCACGACTTTTCTACCCACAGAAAAACGAACAGAAATAGGAGAAACTTTATTTCTTAGACCCAGGCTCAAAATCTGCATGAAACAATCCACACTTTCGTGCCTGTGAAAGAAGAGGAACTCTGCGGTGAGGCACAGAACACAGAGTCATGGAGAGGACAGGGCTTGCAGACCACATCAACAACACTGTCCACCTTCCAAAACCGATTAGCTATGGGATCCTCACCAGTGATAAAGTCCTACATGTTTTAGAAGGGCTGTTCCTTCCCTTTGAGAGCTCACTAACAAAATTATGGTCCCTTATGGCGGACGGCTCACTGGGAAATCATACTCCAGAGATGCACAGATCAGATCGCTGGCCTATGTCCTCCAGCAGGCAGGCATTATCTGGCTCCACAGCAGCACCTTCAGAAGGGACCAGGGCCCCCAAAAGCCCCCTTGTTCTCATGTTGTGTAACACAGTGGCCCAGCACAGCTGGGGCTCACAGTGATTACCTGAGGCTCTCCTTCCATGCTCGTGCAGGAACTGAACATTTTTATTTCAACTAACTTGAGATAAATGAATAAATTCATCAAACTATTCACAGAGTCTTTTAAAAATGCAAACTTTTAGGATTTTTTTTTTTCAATCCAATGACTCCCTGTGGTTGGAGTGCAGCCGGGTGGCTCTGGGGAGCTGATGTGGGAGGCATGTGCTGTCCCCCACGCAGGGCCCAGGAATAAGCGGTAGGTAAGCTCTGCAGTGTGGAAGAACTAGCTGCCAAGTGTCCCTCCCCAGGACAGCCTGGTGGTGACTCTCTTGCTGGCTCTACCCTGGGAAGGACAGGAAAAGATCCCCTGTCCTTCTGAATATCCTTTCAAAGTCCTAGATATCACCTCCCATGCTTGCAACACTTTTAAATTTTATTAACTAAAGTAACCCCCTTGGGCATTTAGCCTAAAGAAATGAAAGCCAAGGTTTGTGTATAAACGTATACAAGAACATTCAGTGTTCACATCTAACAGCTCCATGCTGGAAACAGTCGCCTCAGCTGGGGATGGCCGAGGAGAGGCCAAGAGACCACCACCCTGTGGGATCTCACTTGACATTTATACAGTGGCAAACTAAGGGGTGGGAGGGCCATGCAGGGCAGGCACAAGAAATCCCTGGAGTGAAGGGGATCTACACCTGGGCAAGTGTGCTACACTGCAGAGGACCCCACTCCCCACTGCCCCTGGCACCCACCTGGAGCATCAGGGTCACGCACACAGGACCTCTGTGCCAGTTGCTGTGGGACTAGAGAATTTCAAACTGAAGAGTTAAGCCTGAGCCATGGTTTTCCCCAGCAGCAAAGTGGCATGACCGCCTACACAGGTCCACACCACACATAGCAGCGGACCTGTTCTTAAATGAACAGGAGCTCACCACCAAGACACATTACACTCTATCCTGTCTGGTATTATAGCATTCAAGTTCTTTGTCTTGGTGCAAATTCAACTTTTACAGAATTATTGTTTCTAAAAACCCAATCACATTTAAATCACTGGTATAAAATGGTCAAGTTTATCAAGAAAATATAAGATTATGTCAAACCACAGAAAAAAAAATTGTTTGGGGGAAAGAATTAAACTCCAAAGATTCCTCCGTGGCAAGTCCCTCTTTCTCTTTTGGTTCTGGGTTTCTCTTTTCAACCATAAAATTCCAACTGCAAGATTTAATGTAGGACTCAAATGTCATAAATTAAGTCCTAGTTTACAAAACTTCTGGCTGCCCTCTCTGACTTTGGAAACCAGGTAATGACTGGGTAGGTCCACCAGAAGTCAGGACAGTCTACCAGGGGCACATGGGGCAACACACAAAAGGAGTAAGAATGGGGCAGGACCAAGACCCACCCCTCAAACCTGGACACAGCTCCAAAAACTATCCTGAGAACTAATGACCTTGACACCCCTATCTCCTGGTCATGAGCCTCTGGGCAGCACACTCAACAAAGACTCTCACACTGAGTTCTGGAAGCCAGATGTGGTCCTAGGACCCCAGGGAATGTGAAAAGCCTGAGTTCAGTGCTCAGCTACAGCTGGTAAGCAGCCCCTAGGCCATGCCAGGACGGCACTGCTGCAGAGAAAGCAAGCCAAGGCACCCTTATCAGGATGTGCTCTTAGAACTTGAATGTGCACATCAGCAACAGCTGGACCACATTCAAACAGAATCCTAACCCACACCCTGCAGCAAGGAGCCCACAAGCCAGCTGCTGACCTACAGGACAACCTGGAAGTCCACAGGATCTCTAGGAAGCTAAACAGCAACTTGCTAACAAAGGCACCGGCCAACACATAAAAACAACAGCTGCTCTAGTTTCTGTCCCTGCTGCAGAGTTGGAGAGTCAGAGAGGGGCAAACAAACAGCCCTCCTCCCACCCTTGACTCCATCTCTGGTGGAACTGTCCCCTATCTATAGCAGCTCCTACACATCCACCACCAGTTCTCACCTGCCTGGCTGCTGAGACAGCTTGCTGACAATCAAAAAGCACGGAACACAATGTCCTACAATCCTAAGCACTCAGAGAAAGCCAGTCACCCGTGGGTCCCTTCCTCCCAGCCCTTCCCTGCAGGTCCACTGCCAGCTCTGCCTGGATGGAAGGCTGATCCCCACAGTGGGGAGGTGCCCACTCAGAGTCTGCAGGAGCACAGCAGCTGTACCTGGCCAGGCCACATCACTCACCTACACCTAGATTTTTGTCACAGGTAATAATGGTTTCCAAGTTCAAGTGTTGCAATGGTTCTGGCCCTTGGTTTCCTAACCCTTGATTCCTGGATTAGTACCAGGGACAGGGGCAGAAACATTTGAAAGGCACTTGTTGAACACGTGGGGCTGCTTTTTGGGAGGACTGAACCACCCTACCAATTTTATTCTGCATTAATATTTGCACATATGCTGGAAAATTCTCCCTACTGCTTTACCAGTTCTCTAAGTTCACTGCTCTACATGCAGAGTAACCCTGTTCCACATCCATGCTTCTGCTGGGCTCACACTCTGCCCTTAGCCTTCTCTTACCACCCTGGGATGAGGACATTCCCCCATCCCAGTACTGGGGATGGAACGCAGGGCCCTGAGAATGCCAGGCAAGGGTTCTACCACCAGTTACAGCCCCAGCTTGAGGACATTCTTTAAACATTAAAAATAAACAAGTTGCTGTGTGCAGTCGTGCATGCCTGTAATCCCATTGCTTGGGAGGCTGAGACAGGAGGATAGTGAGTTCAAAGCCAGCCTCAGCAAAAAGTGAAGCGCTCAACAACTCATCGACACCCTGTCTCTAAATAAAATACAAAACAGGCCTGGGGATGTGGCTCAGTGGTTGAGTGCCCCTGAGCTCAATCCCTGGCACCCCAAAAATAAAAAAATAAATAAATAAACAAGTCTACAGTTCAGGAGGCTGAGGTAGGAGGATCACGAGTTCAAAGCCAGCCTCAGCAAATTGCTAAGCAATTCAGTGAGACCATCTCTAAATAAAATACAAAATAGGCCTGGGAGTGCGGCTCGGTGGCCAAGTGCCCCCGAGTTCAATCCCAAGTTACCCTCCCCCCCAAAATGACTCTAATGGATAAGGTGCAGTGTAGTCTCACATGGAATACAACTCAGCAACAAAAAACAGAGGCCTCTGTTAACAACAGGAATGGATCACAAAGGTCCTATGCTGAAATACACAGTCCATGACCCACCTGAGTCTACAACCTAGTGGGCGAGATAGCAATACACGGCAGACAGTGCTGATGCTGCGGGTAGCAACTGCTGGCAAGGGGCAGAGGGACTCTAGGATGTGGGGACACACCCCTCAGCAACATAGGGCACATATCTGTCAATATTCACTGAACTGCACTGTATCTGTTCATTTTATTGTATTAAGTTATACTTTGATTACAAAGAAAATAATAAGTCAGCTAAGGATGTGGTAAAGGGCTACCACATTAAAACTGAAAGCCATTTTGGCAAATGCCTCTTCTGCATGTAAGGTGTGCCAGATCTCCTTCTGTGCACTTTAATAATATCATCTACTTCAAGTGCTCCTAATCCCAAGAAAGTGGTAATACTGTTATTCCAATATAAGAAAAAAAAAACCCAACATTTACTACTACAAAAAAGAGTTCATGGGCAGTTTTTACAATTTCATGACGCCAAAGTGCTATTGCCCCAAACCTGTGATTCAGAATAAGGGGATAACAGTGGGCCCAGGAAACTTGTAAGGAACCCCTATTCAGATTCTCTGTCGGAGACCAAGTTGCATGGTTCTGACTGGCCTTAAAGGATGTCTGGGACAGAGGTAAGAAACACAGATCCTCCTCAGCTGGCTTAGTCTGGGAACAACTCACTGTGGTTGCCCTGAGGTTGCTTAGCCCTTCCAATGCAAAACCCTGTGGGCTGCAGAGCTTGGCTTCCTGCTAAGTTGTACATAGAGTACAGTAGCTATTTCACACTTCCCTTATTTCCCACGAAGCCAGTCTTTCCACGTCTGGTTAAATGACCCAAATCCCACCAACTGGTGTCTTCAGAACAGCCAACACCAGCAGGATTTAGCCCTCCATCCCCACCCTCAGGCCTCCTCCAGGCCAAGCACAGGCCTGAAGACAGGGCCAGGTGAACAAAGGAACTCTTGAGATGGCAGCAAGGCAAAGCAGAAGCTAGCCAGGAGCAAGGGGAGTGACTGTAACTGCTCCCCTGGAGCAACCCAAGGGAGACAGACCTGGACCACCTCCAGCTGCATACTGTACTCTAACGGCAGTTCTTAGTGGCTGAAAATTCAGACCCCCATATTCTGATCAGGAGGGCTGGGTGGTCAGGGACAGTCCTGGCTCTTATCTCAACCACTCTTATGGATATTGGACTTAAATGCTAAAAATGTCAATTTCTATCACACAATCAGATTCAGGTGAAATATATCATTAAAAAAAAAAAAACAGGTAGGATGTAACAAGGTGGGAAAATGCAGAGCCCCCTCGTCTCTGAGGCTGCATGTGAGTTCATCATTCCACCACCATCTGCTGACAGCTCCTACCAGTTGGCTGCAATTACTTTTGATGCTCAGAGGATATAAGACTTTCTTATGCCTGGAAGCAGGTTTCGGGGGCAAACTGAGGGGAACTTCCTGTCCTCCTTCCCAGATAAAACCTGCTGCTCTGCCTAGAAAAGTCATGGCTGACTTTCTAGTCTTTCACTAGAAAACATGGTGACCAAAGCAGTCATATTACTAAGTTCCTAAGACGTTAATCTTAATTTTATCAGCTCATTTGAAAGAATGGTTACCTGAGTCCTATGCACTGAGAAGCCAGACACAAAGGCCAGCAGGGGAAAAAACACTGAGGCTGTCTGGATCAGTGCATCTCCGGAAAGTGCTCAGAAAAGCCTTTTCCTTGGTGACCCTACGTTAGGGAGAGAAGCTTTTGAAATTGTCTCTGGTGCTTTTTCGGGTCCCACCTAAAAGAACAAGCAGGACTGTCCAGGGCAGCCCACGACCAGCTCAGAGGGAGGACAGTCCACTGCAGCAGGCGGAGGGACGCCCCCTGGGCGCTAGATAACACAGGAAACAAAGGCAAAGAACGCCTGCCCTGCACCCGGGGGAGGAAGGGTCCCCGGCGCGGCTGCTCCGCCAGCAGGACTCCGGGCAGGCACAGCGCTCCCACGCGCCCTCGGGAGGGAAACCGGGCAGGAAGAGGCCAGAGGGCCAGCACAGGAGCGGGCAGGGTG